TTCGTATGCCAGAATGCCTGCCCCTCTATACTTACTTCACTAGGCCTACGAGCCAGTGGACACCCCACTTGATGGTGCTGCTCCAGCCCTACCAGAGGAGGTGGCCGAGAAGCAGAGTCCTTGGGCTCATTACTCTTGAAGAACCCTGATAGGCACAGACTATTCTCCAACTACATTTAAAATCAGATATGGGCTGAGGTTGTAGCTCAGTGGTATAGCACTTGCCTAGCACATCAAATGCCCCATGTTTGACCCCCAGCTCCATAAAAATCAATCCAATCAATCAATCAAAGAAACAAAAACAGACACAGTTCCATCTGTCTGTTAAAGCGTAAAACTGCAGGTTTATCAATATCAAGTCCCAATAAAAGAAAAGACAAAACGACATTTTTGGGGCTGTAACTCTGAAAATAACACTTTAAATAAGAAAGACTAATAAAAGGCCATAAACAACTTTTCTACAAGGCACTTTTAACCATGAAAATATTCACCCAAATATCCATGCTTTCCAAATAAATTATCTAAGGGAGATCATCATAGCTCACATTACAATGTTCTTGATCACTGTGTAATGTGATGACTAGAAAAGATGAAGGACAAAAGGGAATTTCTGGTGGTCTGCTGCCAAGCAGAGCAAACTCCTTCACAATGAACTCATTCTTGGTAGAAAAGTTATGAAAACTAACAAAGGAACATGTGCAAAACACTCTGAGCTCTTTGAAAAAATGTAAACTCTGTAGGAATCTGAAGGTGTGATATGCTTTAACACTCCCTTTCTAAGGAACAGCAACCTGGGATTTGGTAGCATTTTTCGACTCTGCTCATTGTAGATGCATTTGTGCTCTACAAAGGGGAACAGGGTCTGGGTAGACCAGAGACAACCACACATTCCTTCACTCAATTTTTCTCTGCTTAAGAGTCAAGCTGATCATGGTGCTGCTCATTTTTATTTGTCTAAAAATTAACTGACACTATCTGTTAATAGTTCTGTGTGGCCAAATGCTAGCATCTAAAGAAACTTTCCCATCTACTTCACAAATACAAACTGACCTTTCATTTGCCACTACAATCACTTTTTGCAACCTGCTTCTTTGAGTTACAGATCTTTAAAATGAGTTCTCACATTCTGAAGGCTGCAGACCAAACCACTCTACATTCTGGTCCACTTCTCTGACCTATGACAGTATCTCCCCTACCTGATCAAAACGGAGTTGCTTGAAATAGAAATGAAGATCTATTATTTAAACACTTGGGTATTTACTTACTAAACCACAGAATGATGAGTCTAATACTAATCTTTACATTTAACCCAAAGTACTCAAACAATGACCTGTTGCCTAGAAGAAAGGTCATTAACCTTTTTTGCTGCAACTATCTAAAATAGTCACGTGTCTTTTAGATGTAAATATCTGCTGTTTATAAACTATATATGGATATATAAAAAATTAATTTGCAAAATAGTAATTTTAAAATGCTGCGATAAAAGAACTTTTCCTCATACCTCATAAAACACATGTATCCTTATTCAGAGCTGCTGACTTAAAGAATCACTTTATTCTATCCTAAGTGTCCTTTTTCTAACACATCAACACTGTTTTAGCTCTAAATTGAAATGGATGGGTTGGCTGAGAGGGGCTCAGTAAGATCTCACTTTCATCTCCTGTAGGGGTCCTAAGCAATGATGTTACTGTAAGGTAATTACTCAGTGACCCTCTATACTTGGAAGGCCCTGTGAGATCTGTGTGGGAGATCCCTGGAGATGCACTGGAATGCATGTTAAAGACATGAATCCTATGCGTGAAGAAACTAAACATAAAGACTACTCAGAAGAAAAAAACGACCAGAACTGCCACTACAGCCAGACACAGAGTATGGAGACAAAGACCACCTGTGGTTTCAGAGCAGTCATTTAATTTACATCTCCAACAGGAAGCTCTGTCCTGGAGAGTCAGGGCCAGTGTTTAAGGCTACAGTGGCTGAATAGCCCTAGCAGCTTTTGAGGGACAAAACAGGTTTCTTAAAAAGAAGTACAGTAAGATGAACTTGTTAACTTTTAATGTCCACATTAAGAAATCGCAACTTTCACTCAGGCTTCTAAGGGGATCACTTGACATTTTATTAATTTCCTTCCAAACTAAAAATTTTCAATCTTTTTCCAGTTAATATGTATTCACCTAATGAAACTCTAGAAATTCATGACCAAGCACTCAACGATTCTCATCATTTCACTTATATACACCTGAAGACACAACTTCTCAGTTCCTACTATGACTCTGACATGCAAGAGAATGTGGTTACTATAAATTCAACTAATGGCAAAGAGTACTGGTATTGTATTTTATTCCTCATTCTGCTAAACTACCTACTGATGTGTTTACAACACCATCTAATGGATGCCCGGTATATTCACATAATCTTTAATGATGTTATAATAGCTTTGTGAATTTTATATATAATTTCTTTCCTTATCAAACCTGTCAGTCTTTTCATTCTACTTTGCAGATGACCGAAAAATGCTGAAATATCAACTTACTTAAAAAATCACAATGTATTTGTGGCTGAAGCTGGCTCTGAAATTGGATTTAATTTCAGAAGGTGCATTTTAAAAGTACTTAACTGTATGTTATATTTCCAAATATGTACTGTTTTTTTTCCCAAACTTCAATGACATGCTCTTCTACTGTCCATTATAGAAAAAATAATTACAAAAAATGTGAAAAGTAGTAATACAATATGGCAGAAAACAGAGGCCAAAAAAGATTTACGTTCAAGTCCTGGCTTCATTACTCATTAGTAGTATTACCTTGGAAAATACACTTAACTCTGAGTGCCCATTCTTCCCATCTGTAAAAGAGAATGATAAGTGTCTTGCAGAACTGTTCAGAAGATTAAGTGAACATGCATATAAAGTACACTGAATGGTGCCTTCAGGAAGGAGCAGAGAGAGGGAAACAGATCCACCTAGAAGATGGAACCAAGTACAAGATTTTCAGGGCAAGTTCCTACTAGTTTCAGCATCGAAACTCAGCACATCAATCAGTTTCTTTCCCAAATGTCTCAAGATGACCCGATGTGCTGATGGTTCTCCTTGACTGCTACCTAAACATGCTGACAGTACTGGAAGGAAATCCTGTCCTGGGGGCCAAGACTGGAAGCAAAGAAGAAAGGTCACGTACACTGCAACTATGAAGTACTGGACCTGCAATCAAAGGGCTCTGAAAGTTTTCAAGCTTGTGGCTACCGGAGGTTGGCTTCTTGCTGGCTAATCAGGACCACCTGTCTTACTCCAGGGAACAATTCTCTCTCTTCTATCTCTATAAAATGGAGAAATGTGGAGCTTGCTGACGAGGGACAGGAACAATGAGAGCATGCCTGGACTTCTACACACTCCTTGGCCTCAAAGTATCACTTGGAAAGAAGAGTAAAATTACAAGTTTTTAAACATTCAATGCCTTATGTTACTTTGAAACTGCCGAACAAGAAGGTCTATTTGGAGCGTTTAACATCAAACTATTACAGGCAGCTGCGTCAGATAGAAACTAATACGTATAAAGACAGAGATGGGGCCCTCAAGGAAGTCAGCACAAGACGACATCAGAATTGTGGCTGGAGGCAAATTTGAAGACAGCCAGGCCTCAAGATGGAGGAGCAATAGCAAGACCTGCAGGCCTCCCTCTAGATAAATAGCAGCTTGAGATTATACTGTAATTAGCACCACTTGGTCCAGCGGGCCCATACAGACATCAGCAGAGCCATGTAGGCACAGATGGCTGAGCAGAACTTCAGGACCCATGCTCCTTTCCCTTTCCATGAATTCCTTTGATCTTTTTATGTGACTCATTACCCTATTGGATCAATGTTAGCTAAGCAGCTACACTTGTAAACCTAGGGTGATTATAGTTTAACCCACGTTACACCTCCACTGTGAATTTGCTATATAAAATTAGCCCTGACAAAGGGCCTTGGTGTTCACCCACTTGGGATCTCTCCTGTAAATCCAAGAGCTATTGTTTTCTTAATTTCAATAAAACTTTCCTAACCTCCTTCACTGGTTCACAACTTCATTTCCTCGATATTGTAAGACCATGAACTTGGCACACTTAACATCCACCAAGTCAGGAATTATATTCTTTCTATACCAAAATCATGATTATTTAAAGGAGTTAATGTTTCAGCATGAGATGTGCCTGGAAACAGCAATGCTATTTCTGTTGAGAAGTTATGTGGACCTTTTTTACATTATGAAAAATATTTGGCTGTGACCTTTAGAAGAACAATATAATTATTTTGACTCTTCCAAATATAATCCTTGAGATACTTTGAAGAGCAAGCAGTATTATTAGAAAAGGCACATATTGTTTAAAATAAATTAAGCTATAGGCTAAGGAACAATGGGCATTAAGACTGCTCTTTAGAGAGGTACAAGATTCATGACTTCATGTTTAATAAAAAATGTCACATGTACAAAGACTTTTTTGGGGGACTCCATGCATCCGAAAGGAGTATTTCAGCACATCCTCTGGCTTTATGAGGACAAGAGAAAATAAAATTTCCAAAACTACTACAATACCATCATAGATAAGTTAAAGCACTTATATTCTGTACTAAAATTTCTTTTACCTTCATCCTTTACTTAAGGATTTTTTTTAGTAGGTTTGAGACGTAAGACAAATTAGCCACATGCTACAAACTGAGCAATCATCTGCATTTTATGTATGTGTTTCATGTCTGAATAACATCTTCGGATACTAGGAAGTTGGTACATTTTGATGTTCACTTTCTTGGGTCTAACTGCCAATGTTGTTCAGGCAAAGTGAACCCAAAGAACACTACACCGACCTCTGCTCATACTCCATTCCTAATGTCAGACACAAAGTATATCACTTCACAAGTGATGAGATAAATCAGAGAATATCCCAAGCACAGTAAGTTAGACCCAATGGCTTATTTCTGTGAAGAAGTCACATAAGAATGAAATCACATAAGAATGACGAACATACCTGTACCACAGGATCTTTTGGTTGGTGTGACTAATGAGACATGAGCTGTGTCTGTGCAGGGCCCACCTAGAAACAGAAAGGCAGGTTCATCAGTCACACGTCCTCCATATGCCCACAGTAGCTATGCTGACTAAAGAGAAATCTAAGAGGAAATCGTCGACTTGCAAATACGGAAAAGGAAGGGCAGTAGGAAAGATGGGGATGGTAGGTTTCTTCTAAGGATCTAATTTGGGTCAGCATTTAGTCTACTGAAATCCAGAATATTTTTACACTATAGCATATTTTTCATAAAAAGTATCACACAGTGTTAACAGGTTAAAAGACAAAAATTTAATTACAATTCAGATCCAAGTGAGCAGCTGTTATCCACAAGTTCAGGGAGATTAGTGACAAGCAAGAGTGTTCCCTCTTTTGATCTCAGTGGCCGCTCCTCTTTGAATTTATCATAAAACTAAACCCTAAGGAAGAACAAACTCCTCGTCAGAAGAAACAATGATCATTTTAGTATATAAAAAAGCACTGCTGACAAAGGAAGAGCATCTAGGCTGATATGATATGAAGTGGGCCTTCATGGAATCCAGCTCAGCCCAAAGATCTCCGGTGCACAAGCATAATTCAAGAGTAGGCAAGGGCTGTAAGTAGTCAGTGGGTAAAGGCTTAAAATAGCAGTATTTTCACTCTACAGTTTGAAGACCATCAATACATTCTGAAGCCAATATTGGCACATACCCCAACACCCCCACTGACCAAACCCTATCATCTGAACTAGGAAGTTATTATATAAATATTCAGGCCAGTGGTTCTTGGCTTGCCCTGGGAAAGGCAGTGCTGATGATCATAAAGGATCAGGACATGCAGGCAAATGTTATACATCTATTCTGAAAAGGTTCCTTAGGTGACCGTGACTAGCACAGAGGAAATGTGGTTAGGCATGGCTGTACATCACCAGGAAGATTTCATATCACTGATGTTAATGAAAAAGAGGAAAAGTGAAAGAACTCTGAAACCTGTTCTTAGAGGTCATGCCACCAAGACCCATGGGCTTAGGGACTTGGACAGCCCATGTAACAAGTTCACCTCTTGCCCACTCTTTCCTGTATCAAGGCCATCACGGCAGCAACCCACAGTTGGTATAAGACAACACAGATGGCAGGGCCAGGGATTTAGCTCAGTGGAACCACGCCTGCCTCACAAGCACAAGGTCCTGAGTTCAATCCCTGGTACTGAAAAACAAGACAACACAGACGGTCACATTTTTCAAAGGAGGAAAACCCAGGTAAGCATGCTGTTAGCCTCAAAGACTACTTAGCAAATACCTTTTATCTGCCACCACAGATCAGTCCCACAGTCAGCACTTATAATCTTATTGGGTACACAAAATTTATATACATATAAACAAAGAGCAATAAATGACAGCAATAAATGGCTAGATGGAAAATGATCAAAAGCTAAAGCATATAGAAAAGGTAATAAACGTTGTATGTTATGAGGAAGAAAGCTGTTCATCATTGGCTGATACTACCTGGAAATGAAAGAATTTGAAAATGAGGCAAGAATAAACTGGGAAGTTTAGAAAGACCAGAGAGTTGGGTATTTCAATAGAATGTTTTCTACAAATCACATCTATCAGAGAAAACTGTGACATGAAAATAGGAAACATGAAGAGCCAATGAGCCACAGGCATGCAGACCTCACACCCTTAGGTGCCCCCATGCCCCACCCCGCTGGCTTTTTCAGCTCCATAAAGTACTGCATCTTCTGCTTCCATGTAATTTTTGAGGGTGGTACTGGGGACTGAGCCCAGGGCCTCTTGCTTGCTGGGCAAGTCTTGTACCACTGACCTACATCCGTGATCCTCATGAAAGGCGTTTGTTTTGATTAAACAAAGAATTCTTATTTCTGGGACATTAATGAGTTCCATAGAAAATGCAATTTAAACCAGGCCTGGGGGTGCACCGCTATAATCATACCAGTTGGGGGGCAGAGGCAGGAGGATCACCATGAGTTGGAGGCAGGCCCAGGATACAGAGTGAGTTCAAAGCCAGCCTGTCCTCCCAGCCCCTCTTCCCCAAAAAGATGCAATTTAAGCCCTGAGACCTGCTGAGTAATCCTGGGTAAGTGAACCTCAGTTTCTTCAACAAAAGAATGGGAATAGTTATATTACCAATATGCCAGAGTGTTCATGGATCATACATACCAAAAGGTTTCATAAATTGTTACAGTTCCCATTATGGAGAATCATTTTCTCTTCCACCAGATTTTATATTTCCAAGAATCAAGACTTACACATTTTTAACTGCTCTTGACTCCCAACTATTTGAACAATGGGTCCTTAACAGTGCTTCCTGAGTGACCACTGCAAGCCATTTGATTTAATTAGGAAAGTGAGCCACATTTTAAAGAGGTTTTTAATAGAAGCAATAAAGAGGATGAAATACAAGTTGGATATCATTTATCCAAGAGATCTGGGACCTGAATTTTGGAATATTTGCATATACATTAATAAGGTAGCTTGGGGATAGGACCTAAGATTAAGCATAAAATGCATTTATACTTTTATACACATAGCTTTAAGATAGTTTTACACAGCATTTTTAGCGTGCCTGTGTTCCAACTGTGACTCATCACATGAGAGCAGGTATAGAATTTCCCACTTGTGGAATCATCACAAGGCTCAGAAGTTTTTGATTTTGCAGTGTCTTGATGTTTTGGAGAGGAATGCTCCACTAGTGCTAGAAAGAACTGTTGTAAATCTTAACATCCTAAGGGATTTCACACAGAAACGTATGGGAGCAAAATGATCATCAGATAAAACTATTAAAATATTCCCTAAATCCAGAAAATACTGGAATCACTTAAAATACAGATTCCCAGGCTGTGGATCTGGAAATTTTGATCCAACAGGTTAGGGGGCACAGGAGGAGATTACAACATGTTTCAGAGGTACCCAGTGAATACCAACAGCCCATGTATCCCCACTACCTAGTAACATTTTCCGAAAGCTCTAGCGTTATCTGGTCAGGATCACTGGGTTCTGTCCAAAGGACAAAATTGAACTGCACAGAGCACAGATAGTAGTGACAATGTGACTACCAAAATACTGGTGGCAGGGGACCACATGTAATTTATCCAGTAAAATTATAAGGACGAAACCATAAAATCAAAACCTCTAAAAAATGTGGCTGAGACTCATGAATTAATACCTTAGACTTATAAGTATCCTAGATAATTATCAAATAACAAAATCTTTACTTCATCTATGGCTTGAGAATTTACCCTTTAAAAAACTTCTACTGAATGAATTTCTGTACGTTTTGGCAAATACATAAATAACTTTATGGCTACCAAGCATATCTCAACATGTATCATCATGAAAGTGATCTCCAGAGAGCTTGTTAAACTAACAGCCCAATCCGATGTATTCGCTGCATGAACGTATGAGAAGATCCATAGCTGAGCCAAGACAAATTGACAACAGGAGTAACTGGAAGTGATAACATACCCCAGCTTTGATAATTGGGCAATTTTATTATAAATGGAGACCTTGGAATTAAGCTTGGCCTGACAGACTTTAAAATCTGAAACAGAAGCTTATGAACATCATGCATATATCCCACACTAACTATTCTGTCATCTCAAACTCCTATACCCTCAAATAAAAGGAGCAGCCATATGATATCTAGCTTTACACAATTAATTCCAAATCAACTCTGTCAACATGACTGCAACTGTGTTAAAATTATGGGCAACTCAAGGGGAACCTTTTTAGGTTTGTCTACAACAAGAAAAACATAACAAGGGTCTTATATCGTTACAGCAAACAAAACTCAGTTGAAGTTAAGGGTCAAAGTGAGGGCATCTGTTCCAAAAAAAAAAAAACAGATGTGGGGTTGGGTAGGCTGGACACAGAGGCACATGCCTGTAATCCCAGCACTCTGGGAGACCAAAGCAGGGAGATTTCAAGTTTGGGCCCAGCCTGGGTATCTCAGTGAGTCCTGATCTCAAAAGTAAATAAATGAGTGAGTGAGCAGGCTGGGTCGCAGCTCAATGCAAAGTCCCTGGGCTTAATTCCTACTACCACATAAAAAAACCACACAGGTAACTTTTCCTCTCTGAACTTTCTAAAAATGCCCAAAAGAAGGGCCTGCACATGTTCCCATAAATCACTGTAAACTCTGCTCCAATTCTTAACCATTCTTCTTTCCAAGCAGCAACGTACAGCAGAGCTAGTAACTAAGATCAAGGTGAAGAAGCATCTTAATGACACCAGGCGAACAGGAGGGAGGGGGAGAGTTGGGGACAGAGACAGGTGGGGAGGGGAGGGAGAAAAAAGTATGGGACAGGGCGGAGAAAAGTAAAGAGTTCAGTGGGATTGAGGTCGGGAAAATAAATATTTCTAAGCACAGAACAATTCAAACTATTATTTGTCACCCAAAGAGGACCAAAAGGCATTTATTTTAAAATGTGGGCTCCTAGTAGTGGGATTCAGGGAGTAGAGATGAGAACATGTCCCATTACGAAGGAGTTAAAGGGTCTTTTCACAGATCTAGCACAAAACTTATCCCTGGGCTGGGTAAGAGTTTAGTTCGCGTCCTCCTGGGATGTTCACAACTCTTGGCTTGCCAGCAAGTTAACAGAGTGGTCACGACACAAGATGGAATCTGGACCACAAAAGTACTCACGGCTGTCAACTTTCTTTCACATCTGTTAGCCTGTATCAGTGGCAACTTGTTGGGAGTAGTTCTACATAACTTCACAATTAAAATATGATTAGGCCTAGTTTTCCTGTCTACAGACCAGCTATAGCAGGTGGAAACAACTCCATTTTGGCCTCCAGTCACAGCTTAAACCTCAATGGTGGGGTGATGCTGAGACACTGCAGGGCAGGACTTCCTGGGGAGGAACAAAATCTTCAGCGCATAGTTCCTCCTTGTTCTAGGACTTTCCCTGAGTCACCTATTACATGTGTAATAAAGGTGTGGTGAGCTCAGGGGCTTCGGTCTTTGCCATCCATAGCTGCACTGATCCGGCCCAAAGCTCAGCTTCTTCCCTAAGTCTCATTTTTC